GAGGATCGCTTGAGCCCAGGAGTTTGAGGTTGCTGTGAGCTAGGCTAACGCCACGGCACTCACTCTAGCCAGGACAAAAGAGTGAGACTCTGTCTCAAAAAAAAAAAAAAAAAATATTCTGACACAAAACTTGCGGTATAGTTTATCAACATGTGATGCATTTTATATTATGAAATCCAGGGGAAAAGGGTATGTTTGCAGCATTTTCAGAATTTTGTATAATTAAGATTCTGTTATAAATCTCATGAAAAAGTTTGTTTTTTCATTAGTCATTTCCCATCATATGTTAAATGCCTGTGTATAATCTACCAGAGGATACAAGAGTGATTAAAACATTATCTTCAAAGAACTTAGAGACCCACACCCTGACTTTTTCCGCCAGTCCCAGCTTTCATTTTTTTTAGTTCCTTATTTTAAGTACTGTTAAAGAAAATGTGAAAATTAACTAGAAAGCTTGTTTGCCCAATGAATATTAATTCATAATGGTGCTTCTATTTTAAGTGGGAAAAATCCTATAAAAATTGATAAATAAGTGGCCGCCACAGTCTTTAAAGCACATCTCTAAAAAGGGGGAATACATTTAATTACTGTAAGTAGTAAGAAAAGTGGAAATCTCATTATAGCGTGCATTTAAACATGACAGAAATCATAGTGTCTTAATCCTGCCAGATTTATAAAAATGAAGAGAATCTAATAATTAAGTAGGTGACTAGAGGACAGATGAATCTGGTTTCTGTGCTATTAAAAAAAAATACACAAACCCCCAGGCATGTTAATTTTTGACAAATAAACCATAAACCATGACAGGAGATTATCACAGGAGACCTCTAGTTCATTTTCATGAATTTTCAGATGGAACTCCCTCCACACTCTTCAAAAAGTATTAATTTAGATTAGGATATGAGTGATCATCTTTTTAAACTTTTATTCAAGTAAACAGAACCTTGTGTTATGAACACTCAAATTGGTATATTTTTATCTAACATCTGGGGTCTTTCTCTCTATTTTAGAGTTGATTTTCATGCAGGAAACATGGAGATTCCTCTCATGGGTGTTAATTCCCTTCCATTTGGTGTGCATTTTGGAGGCTTTGGAGACTCCCACATTTTATTGTTTTGTAAATTTAGTCCAGTAGAGGAAATATTGCTCTGATTTTGAAATTAGTCTTAGGCACAGGGATAAAGGCTTATTAATCTTTTCTAATCTTTCTTGTACCATATGATAATACTCCCCTAGTAGACATTCCCTGTAATATAAAAATCTATTTGTATACTGGAAAGTATGGTAACGTGCATTGCTTCCCATATTTTCTAATACAGATTTGAGAGTAAAATTATCAAGTTACTTTTTTAATTTTAAGCTAAAATAAAGGACTAAAATGAGCACTGTAGTACAGTAGATTTTGTCTAGAGCAAGGAAACATATTTTCACATTGCTAATAGTAATATTGATTTACAATCCACCTGATTGTGGAGTTACTTAATATTTTTTTTTTCCCTGATGGTAAGATGAAGGTCATAATAGTGCCCTACCTTTTCCATACTTCCGTTGGAAATATAGAGCCCTTGAATAAATGCCTTGGGTCTCTCCTTGTTGGCTAGTTATTATTCACCAGGTTAAATCTCAGAATATATTTCTACAAGCAGATTACTAGGACAGCTTTGCCTGCTGGGTTCAGGTCATCAGACACTTGTTGAGTACTGAAAGGCAGAGCAACCTCCTAGTTACTCTTTCAGAATTCCTTCTGGAGTGCATTTTAGTTGGTTACATTATATAGGCATAGTTCAACTTATTCCAGCATCAACTAGAATACACAATGTATCACTCCAGTGACTATAACAAATAAAGAAATCGGATTCCTCTTCACACAGTTATAATAGCCAGGTTGATATTGGAACTTTTCATTCTTTCTTTGTTGTACGCCATATTAATCCATAAATTTTTGCTAGTAGTGTTGAAATGATGTTTTTTGCCAATCTCTTTGTGTTCTGTGTTCCCATCAGATGTTTTTCCTTCTTACTTTTTCATTTAATGTGGCACTGAGATTGCCACCCACAAGGAAAAGACTCTTTTCAAAAAAGCCTTGTTGCATTGGCAAGAATGTAGACTTGTCTTCAGATAACATTTTATTGGTAGCTACTGCAAAGAAAAGACAACATTGTTAGTAGGACCCAAATTGCATTTGTGTGATAGCTTTCTTGAAAAAAGGACATGCTGTCTCTTAAGTACTGCATATAGCATATATAGGAACTTGTGATGTGCGGTTGTCATGGTAATGAAAATGCAATGGTCCTTTGTGCTCCATTTGAGTAAATAGACACAGACAACTTAGGGAACTTTATGAGACGTAAATTATTTCTGGTCCGTGGCTGTACAGAGTACTGAGCACATTCTTGTTTAAACATCTTTCTAGTTGTGTGTTTTCCGGAGCAAGCAAATGTGATTTATGCTTCAGAACTAATAAGAACATGTCTCCTCTTGGAATTGTTCATTCATCTGAAATATGTTCATTGATACCTGAGGGAAAGGAGAATTAATGAATCACAAAACAAAATCATGATGGGGGAAATTGTGTCCCTCACTCTTTTCCAGAGACTAGTTTCTGATAATTGCTATTAAATGGACTGAATAATTCTTTTAAAATCATTTCTTTTTCTTATATTTTTAAATTAGAGGTGTTTAAAATATAAAGTACAGGCGTGTATTTTTAACTCTTTAATAAGTAGCCAAATAAAATAGGATCAACCTGTGGCCATTTAATAGATATCTTTTTAAGCTTGTTATTATAATTATTTTCTTCTTAAATTTTTAACATTTTAATTATTTAAAAATATTTTTAGAGAACACGTAACTTAGTTCTCCCAATTTCTTGTATCTGGTATATTTACATACATCTTATTTTGCTTCCTTTTTTTTTTTTTTTTAAATACTTGATTCAATTGTACTCCAATCATGGTACAGAAATGAAAGGTAAATTTTTACTAATATCTTGACATTGTAGTAGTTCTGTGATTTGTTCACTTAAATTTTGCCATTTTGTCGTTGTGGACCATTTGCATTTATTGAAGGTAACAGCCATGACAGCCTATGATTTTATTTTCCCTTGAATGTAAATTTAGGCCAAAATGTTGATTTTTTACTTAAACATCTAACTGTGACCTTTCTCAAATTTAAGTCTAATGCTGTTGAATTCTCTAACTTCAACTGATTGTGAATGTGTCTCTTGATAAATTTTGTCCACTCGTGTCTCTTACTTGGTAAATTAATGTAATCACGAATTACAAAATGTCCGTGTATATTACTGCATCTAAGAATGCAGTATTCCTCTTTATAAAGTGTGCTTTTCCTGTTTTGCCCCTTGGCAAATTTGCCCGTATTTGTTTTCACAATGTTGAATGACTTTTAAGGCCCAGTCTTACCCAAAGTGGCTAGTAAAGTAATAGTTCTGGAATGCCAGAGATTTCATAAAATTTGCTTTCTGGTGTCCTCTTGCCTTTGTAGTAGTATTGTCTCTACTACTGTATTAACTCATCTGAGACCCTCATAAGGACCCTAATTCATAACCAGAGTCCAACTCAGAAGCTACACATCCTATCATTATTTGAAGATAAAACTACTCTCTTCATGGCTGCTGACAGCTTTGCCTCTAAAACTGGGGCAGACAACTTTACTCTTTGCCTTAAGTTCTATCACTAGTGGAGAATTTCTCATTCTGCCCCCACTGTCACTGGCCAGAGCTGGGCTGCATGCTAAAAAAAAAACTCTGCGAGAGGCTTTTGCTGTAATACTTCATGAAGCCAGGTCATGTCAGAGGGCAATAACTCTTAAGACATTCTGAGCATAGATCAACCACTTTCTTAATACTGAAGTTATTGGCCACTTCAGGCTTAAGCCAGCCATGAGCCAAATGATCCCTTCTTCCCTAGGCACGATGAGCAGAACTGTTTCCTGGAAAATAATAAGCAGAAAGTGCTTAGGATGCTATAAAAGTCACCATAGACTCTTGTGCCATGCTGGAATTCAGGCCCTTCTGCAGATCGTTGGCTCTGAGTATGAGTTTCCAGATGAGGGTGTTTTTCCTCCTCCCTTTCCGTTTTTATTCATTTGAATCTGCTGAGTCTGGCCATTGTAATTATCCCTGGTATTCATTTTGTCAACGTGTATTAGTGAGAGATCAATAATATGGATCAACCCATTCACTTTCTACTTGTTTGGATGTATTGATTCAGTTTAAATAAAAATCAACCTGCTGTATAATGTTTGTTTACCCTGACCCTTGCCGAACGTTTCCACATCCTCACAGACTCTGTTTGTGTCAGTGTTTGACTTAAAATATTCGGTTTCCTTGGGGAAACCCGTGTAACAGTACTCCAGTGTTGGCCTAAGCTAAACTCACTTTCCCAATAGGACGGATGGACGCCGCTGGTCACTGGCCTCTCTCCCCTCCTCTGGCTATGGGACAAACACACCCAGCTCTACAGTCTCTGTAAGTGCCTGACATTTTTTCTCTCCCTCACAACCACAGAGCTATTACGCAGGCAGTGTTTTCTCCGGGTGTTTCCTGGTAGGGAAGAGAAGATAAATTCTGCGTGTCTGCCGCTCGTAGTAAGTTATGCATCAAATGCTGGCCTGAGAAACATAAAAAGGCCATACTTTTGCTGCAAGCTTTTAAACTGTGGTACATAAGCTGAGTAAGTTCCAGGATTGCAAGTTTAGAGGAGATTGGGAGCTTTCATTTTAATACCATTTGGTGTAGTTTGGGGGAAAAAAAACACAATCTGGTTTTATTCCTTTGGTTCCATGCCAGTGATATTAGTGCTGAAAATGCCATTAAACTTTGATGGACTGGGTCTTTTTTCTTGTGTGGCTTAGACAGAGGATTGGTTTGTTTTGTTTTCTCTCTCCTTCAAAGAAAAGAAAATGGCAAGCCTTAAATTATCTGTGCCTCCTAGGTAAGAACTTTCTTTTAAGGAGAGATTAAAACAACTTAAAAGGTTAAGAAATGAAAATAGGATAGAGGAAAAAGGTATGATACTCTTGCCCCAGACTATAACATTTCTACAAGGGGCCTAGCAATTACTGGAAACAATTCAGTAGGTTAGATATATGCTTTTTGGTTTAAATTAGTGATGTTGTGGGATCGGATACCTGTATCTGCAGGGCTTTAGAAACCAGGTTCATTTAGAAAGGTCCAATATGTCGTAGGCCTTCAATAAATGAGGTGAACCAGCCCTTGTACCCGCCAGGAATGTGGACCTCTGGCTCTAGAGGCCCTTCTGATTCATTTCCTTCCTCATTTTGTCAAAATCTCTGATTCATTGTTTAGGGATATCCATCTATTGTATTTTTCACAGCTCCCAGCACTGAGTTAAGTACATAGATTCAGCCACTTAATAATACTTGAATTGACAAGAAACTATAATGACATAAACTCTGATAATCACCACTGCCTTATATTATGTGTTTCCAGAATTCCAAGTATAATATGATGTGGGTTTTCTGGAGCACCTTTAAAACCGAGTTGTTAAAATCTGTTGGATTATTGTTACCATCTCCTTACAGTATTTTATTGAGCAGAGGTAATTTATTTTTCTATCCATTCTTCCATTTTGTTGTGATACATGAATTTATCGTCCATTTAGAAACATCCTAACAACCTTGAGTAATTTCAGTGGCATATTGACCTCACATCAGTAAAGGATGCCTAAAAATCCTGAATGGCACCAGGGATTAAAGTTGTCACTAAATAATGGTGAAGTCATTTCTGATTATTATGGCAGTAACCATCATTGGTTATTGGCCCATATTTTAGATGTGTCTCCTAACTTCAAAGTCTTTTTCGTATTTCAATTATATCACCTTATGTTGCCTTCAGTCACGTTTTGTTATAGCTTGGTTACAGAAATCTCTCTTTTGCAAGAAAAATAAAGAAGGATACAGAATCTTTCTTCTTTCCATCTCTAATTAATTAGTAAGTCTTTTGAAAGTGACTTGATAAAGAAAGGGTGTGCTACATACAATCTGATCCCATTTCGTACCAATAATTTTTAAAATTATTTTTACAGGTTCTTATATGGTAGGCACGAGTCTAATTAAAATGGATCGGCTCATTTCATCATAGCAACATACCCTATGCTGTAATTGCCGTTGTTTTCCTCATTTTATGGATCAGAAATGTGAGATACAGAGAATTAACTGAGAGACTATTTACCATTCCCTGTTCCATCAGTAAGATTACAGTAAGTGGTCTAGGCCCCAGTCTCTCAGCTCTTTTTAAGGAATTTACATGGCATTTCTTAAACCTTGTAATTAATAAGCCTGACCTTGCCATTAGTCACACGAAGCATTGCTGTCTCTAACTTCCATATGGGCCTACAGAAGAAGACTCACGTGACAATTTTTAGTCATACACACGTATGCTGTGTTTCTAACAGCTTTTCTCTTAAGTGTTTATTTTATTGAAGAAGGTGGTATCATATAATTATGGATGTCAATATTCCTATTTTTTCCTTCAGAAAGAAATTTTAGCTTCCAAAATTATTATTTTTGCCTGACAGAAAGAACTGCTCATGGACTGGAGGTGCTGTAGGGTGAAAATTCAGCTTTCTTTTGTCCTTACTGGTTGTTGATAAAAAGCGATGAGTGAAAACTATTATAGAAAAAGTACTTCTCATTTTCCTCAATTTCTTTGTGTTTTTTCTTCTTGTTTTTTAAATATTAGGGCAAAAATGGTGCCAAACTGCTCAGTACTTGGAGTTTCTTCTTTTCTAAGTCTAATCTGAATCACTCATAGATTCTCATTTTTCTTGGTTAATTGTTAGTCAGTTTAGTCAATCGGAAATGTTATTTTTCAAATAAAAATATAGGATATGTACAAATAAAATTATAATCATTTTGAAAATATGTTTTAAATTTTACAGATAATTGTGTTGTTAGCTGAATGCCAGAACTGCTTATGCTGAAATGTAGACATTAATATATCTTTATCCTTTGTATATTATGGAAACTGCAAAATTGCTAAATGTTAAAAATGCTATACTCTGAAATTAGAAAGATTTGGTCATATGAAGTTAATCAATCTTCCCAGAGAATATTTAGTATTGCAACTTCTTTTAATGTCAAATTTTGCAATTAAAATTAATTTATGGGGCTTTTCCAAGGTAATATTTAGATAATAATTTTTAATTTTGAAATAAGTAATATGGAATTGCAGCAGTAGAAAGATAGTATCCCGTATTTCTTACCAGATAAATTATTTTATTTTCTACTGAGTGAAAGAATGGAAATAAAAATATAAATACCATAAATATGAAATATGACTATAAAATGATACTACTTTTAATAAATAACAAGTGGAAACTTATGCATGCATGTGGATGCTATGCTTTTGCAAAATGCTTATCTTGAGAGACTAAGTGCTTATTTTAATGATATTACCCAGAACATGTTTTTGGTATTCTCATTGCCTTGGAAACTGGCAGCACAGTTTTTGTACAAGGCTTCATTCTTTGGAAGTCAGTTTGATTTATGATACAGTCGAAAGTCATATGCAAACTAGTAGGGTGATGAGACTTATTAGCACCACACTTAGAGAACCTGCTGGAAATACAAAGTAATGAGACTCAGTTTATTGAAAAACTCACAAACTAGTTCTCAAAACCCTTCTGAAAGTGGTATTCCAAGGACGTCTTGACTCTTGGAGGTGTCTCTTCAATAACTGTATGAGTTCTTGGAGACAGCACTCACGTTCCTCTGTCCTCCTGGCAGCTGTCCTCACTGCCTTTCAGGCTGTCCCCTGACTCCCTCATCTCTGCTGAAAATGGACCTGTACTTCTCTGTTGTCCCACATGACTCGCCTTCTGGGCCCTATTTAGTACCTTTCGAATCACCCCCAGGTCATTTTGCCGTCCACGCACAGTTGTGCCCAGTGCCCTAGGCTCATCCTGGTGTCCCCTGGGTCTGGACCTGTTTCCATTTACACCTCCCTTATTCCAACTGAGATGAAAGGGGTTCCCTCCCCCGATAAGCTCCTTGCCTCCTCTCTTTAATAGTGTCAAGGTTAAAACACTTAACTTGTCCCACTACATCCTTCAGCTCATCATACTCGAAATCACTAAACATGGCCCACATTCCTTATGTTATCTGGTTATGTTTATGATATAATCACAAAATTTTCCTTAGACTTAACAGATGTTAACATTTTTTTTTTTTTTTTGAGACAGAGTCTTACTGTGTTGCCCAGGGCTAGAGTGCCGTGGTGTCATCCCAGCTCACAGCAACCTCAAACTCCTGGGCTCTAGCAATCCTTCTGCCTCAGCCTCCCGAGTAGCTGGGACTACAGGCATGTGCCACCATGCCCGGCTAATTTTTTCTGTATATTTTTAGTTGTTTGGCCAATTTCTTTCTATTTTTAGTAGAGATGTGGTCTTGCTCTTGCTCAGGCTGGTCTCGAACTCCTGAGCTCAAACCATCCTCCCACCTCAGCCTCCCAGAGTGCTAGGATTACAGGCGTGAGCCACCTCGCGCGGCCAACATTTTGTTATATTTGCTACAGCTGTTTTTAAAAACAAATTTTTATTTCATTTAATAAATGTTGACGATACCACCGAAGCCCCTCTCTGCACCAGTGTCTTTCTCTTCACTTCCTCTACAGAAAGACACCTCTCTGAAATTAGTTGATAATCTTCCCATGCAAGTACAGATCCGTAATATTTTAGGTGAAACTCTTGAGCCTGGTGTGTTTGGAATTAATTTTCACCTTTAGAAAGGTAACATGATCCCTGTACTGCACATAATAGCCCAGCAGCAACTGGACCAGCAGCTCATAATCAAATATATTAATATTTCTACAGCAACCTGAATCAACATTCACACCAACTGGATTAAATAAATATTTTAAATAGCTTCTCATCAGTTCAGTTGGTGCTTTGCCACCGAAAGAGATTACTGTAAACTCATGAACAAACTTCTGGGTTTGTGGGTTTTGAAATCTTGGCTACAAGATTGTGGACATTGATTTACCTTTGAGACATGTATAGATTCTTAATTCTGTTTTTCTTTTTGCTAATTTCTTTATCTTTGTTTTTATCACCACAGCTGCTCTCTCCTGCTTGCATTGATTTTATTATTCTTTTCCTGATTTCTTGAATTGGCTTGGTTCATATGTTTTATTTCTTTTTTCTTGGTGAAAGTGTTTTAAGACTGCCCATACTTTCTGAATCGAGCTTTGGTTTATCTCATAAGTCTTTTTAGTAGTCTTCTCATTTCTATGGTTTATAAAATAATCTCATTACATTATAAAATCCTTCTTTGTCACACAGTGTGTACTAAGGCGTTTTATAATTTCCAATTGTAGGGATCTTTGTAAGCTTTAGTCATTAATTTCCAGTGCTGCTGGGTTTCAGTGCTTTGGTATTTACGAAGGATGCTTGCAATGTAATGACAGATTTTTTTAAAAACAAAAATCCTGCAAGAACTGACATTTTCAAGTGAGTGCTATCTTTCCAAATATGCTTATTCTAACCATATTTCCACATACTCAAAAATTTCTCCATCTCTTTTATTAGAATTGCTCACAGAGTTTACCTCCTACTAAAAATGAAAACAACAAATAATTTCTTTGCTTTATAGTTATATGGCTCAGATTGATTAAAAGCAGTGTTATTTAGCTGTTCACCTTTTCTCCCTTATCTTGTTCCAAGTGTTGAGTGATGATTTTCATCTTCATCCCTCCGTCTTTTTACCCATGGCACATAATTGATGGCAATTGCATCAAAAGGCAGCACGCATTATAAAAAGAGGTGTCACTACCCTATTTTTGATTTCACACCATATAATTCAATTATGTTACTTATCTAAAAGTTACAGCATTTGATTATAAGCAGCGGTAGATAGGCATGACCATACTCAGTTGAGAGCTCATCTGTGATGTAATGAACTTAAGTCTCACTCCAGTGGCTGCTTTCTTGTTTTGACTTTGACTGGGTCCTATCCATTTTCAGAGCCTGGCTTTTCTCCCAAGAGGAAACTGTATTTTGGGAAATTGTTTTATGAACAAATGGGCTTAAATATGGAAGGCATTTTGACCTCTCAGAGCATCAACATACATATTTAGGTAGTAGTTCTTGTAATTATAACATGAAAAGGAAACGATATAAAATGGTGGTATCACCCATGTTCTGCACATTGAACTCCTATTATTCATTTGAAGAATTTCCTTTTGAGGTAGTCATATAATCTCACTTTGGTTTGTTTCAGTCATCCTGTTCCTCCCAGGAGAAGTTGCATCAGTTACCATATCAACCAACGCCAGATGAATTACACTTCTTATCGAAACATTTTTGTACCACCGAAAGCATCGCCACTGAGAACAGATGCAGGAACACACCCATGCGCCCCCGTTCCCGAAGTCTGAGGTGTGTCGACTTAGCTGAAAACCTTTACTTAGTTGAATTATCTGTTTTCAACCATTTTGACTGAAGACTTCTGGTCCTCTAATTCATATATGTGTTAATTGATTTGTGAACTACTATAAATATAGCGTAATTTTTCCACCGATGCATGGATATTGTTGATTACCTTTGAAATGAATCTTATTAGTTTTCTTTTAAATTCTCACAATTTGCTAATTGCTGCAATAGAGGAATCACAATGGCCTTAGGGTGACTACCTACGAAAACTTCTAGTCATTGGAAATTTCAAGGCAATCTTGTTTGTTAGGTGTTCAGTTGAATGTCAAAGTTTACCAAGAAGGGTTTTCTCTTTGTGCCATTCTTCTTCATTTAGTATTATAAACTAATACTAAATATAGCCACACTGGATGACTGTGGGATGAGTTAGGATATTCTGAGATATGGAATGAAAGACCAGTTACTACTTCATCGACAGTCACTGTTTTACCACATGGGTACCATTTTTCCTTTTATTAAAGGAAATCATAAGATATCTGGTGCAAGCCGAATCTACCCAGGAATATAAATACACTAAAGTTGCACAACTGTATACCACTAGGAAGGAATATGAATCTACTATTGAAATAAATAAAGAAAAACACACAACAGTTGTATGCCTTTGCTTCATATTATACATAATGCCCACCTCAGCATCCCAAATAAATATTTGCCAGGCTGGAAAATGGATTTCAATTATAACACCTGTGCCACGGAAGACACCCAGACCTCTTCAGTGGTATGTGGCAGAGCGCAGGTGTATGATAAAAGTGTGAAATTACACTGTTAAATGTGTCTTAGATGTTACTGTTTGTAGCTACCCTATTTTGTTTTATATTGCAGTTCATTAATTGGTTTCCAGAGTTTACACAAGCTCATATTACATGCAAAATATAATCTCAATTTAAGAACATTTTCTGAAATGTTGCTGTATTGTAACTATAATTATTTTGTGGCATTCCCCTTCTTGAGCTTTCTTAATCCTATTCAGAGTGTCTTTGTGTTTATGGGTACATATGTGTGCATGTGTACTAATGACTGATTTTGTAGTTTATTACCTAGTATACTTTTCTTACAAAGGTTGTGTAGTGTTTTTGATGCAACTGATTGTTTATAAATAAAAAGCTTATTTTCATTTCATGCTGTGGCAAGTTTAAAAGGGTAATTTGCTTTGCTTGCAGCCCTGGACGTTCTCCCGCCTGCTGTGACCATGAAATAATTATGATGAACCATGTCTACAAAGAAAGGTTCCCAAAGGTAATGAATTGAATTTAAGATGCCTGGCGTCTAAACGAACAGGCAACATAGGTCTAGAGTCTGTAAGGTGGTTTTGTTATGGGAAGTAATGAGTTGCATAAAACAGCACCATAGCCTTCTTAGAAAGATAAAATAACTAAAAAAAAAAAATGTAAGCTAACAACTGCTGAGAACTAGCCACTCTCTGTACTGTGAACTGGCTTTAGAGTGAGTTTAGCTGGTGCGGCCACACACTGGGTGGCTTGGTAGGGTGCTGTGGGGACCGTCTGCTTTGAAAGGCCTGGAGACTTTGTGTTCCTCGTGCCCACGTTCTGGGCTGCTGCTGTCTTGTCAAGCAGAGACTGCTGTTCTCCCTCAAAAGCCTGGATTGGTGTGTCATGAAAGTTGGCCTTTGTGTTTCTTTTTACTTTTACACCTCATTTTTCTCTTCTGTGATTTCCCATTTCTTCAGCCATTGTACTTCAACGCTTATCAATTCAGAAGGGAAGGCACAGTTGCAGCATTCCCCAGTTAGACGGGTAGAAGGAATTTGAATTGAGCCAGAGAGCGATTTGCGAAGAGTTGTTGCCAAACCCCTGGCTGCAAGGAACTGCTTCACCATGGTGCCCTGACCTCACCTCGTTTCCCCGTCTTTCCCGCCGAAGTGTCTCCCCAGACTTTGGAGAGGGCGACCTCTCTGTGTTCTCCCTCACTACCTTTCTCGCCTTAAGCAAGAGAACAAAAGGAAATCTTTGGTTTCATAAATCAGGACTAGAGTATTTATTGTTTGTAATGAACCCAACATTGATGTCATTGATTGCAGCTGTTTTAGCTATTTATCACATGTCACTTGCTCACTAGGGAAGCAGGTACTGACTGTCCCTAGTTAATGCAGGGCAGGATGTTAGAGGGGGACAGGAGGAAGAGGAAGTCTCCCCGCATGTGTAATTAACGTAAGCAAGGAGTGTTGATCAGGCAGTAGGTGATCAGAGAGAGTGAAAGTTGGAAAGGAAATTTCAGATTTATTTTATCAAGGGAATCCCGTTGGCCTTTTGCACATGATGCTGCTTTTTGAGAAAACAGTGAGGATGGTATAAGATGTGGGCTCCTGGCACAGTAACACCTAGTCAAGAAGACAAACTTTTGGCTCATCCTGTGGGACTCTAGCAACAATCCTGATTTTTGAGTTAAGTAAAAACATAAAGAGATATTTGATATTTTTGACAATCTATCTCTGAAAGAGCCCAAGATCTAAAAGGAAAGCATAGCAATTCACAGATATCATTGGAGTTATTTGAAGCAGCTTACATGGACCATTTAACGTTTGATACGACGTAGGAAAAAGGGTACTATTGCTCTGCAATATTCATTTTCCCTTTGTGCCTCAACTCTATTCCACATAGTGAGGCTGCTGCTTTTTTAAGTAAACTTTATCTTTCAGAGCACTTGTAGCTTTACAGCAAAATCGAGTGGAAGGTACCGAAATTTCCCCTATACCCTTTGCTCCACACAGGCACAGCCTCCCTCACTGTCAGAATCTCCCCCCCACCCCCCGCAGAGGGGTACGTTGGTTGCAGTTGATGAACCCACATTGACACATCATTATCACCCACAGTTCACAGTCACATTGGGATTCACTCTTGGCGTTGTACATTGAATAGCTTTGGACAAATGTATAATGACATGTATGCACCTTATTCTATCACACGGATTTGAGGATTCTTTTTAATATAATTTCTAGAATTCTATTTAACAACTTGTAAAGGTCTCTGAAAATGTTAGATAAAGGAGGTGGTTGAATTGTTCATATGTGTGTTTCCTTGTATCATATCTGCATGTGTGTCTTCTCTAAATAGGCTACAGCTCAGATGGAAGAACGTCTAAAAGAAATTATCACCAGCTACTCTCCTGACAACGTTCTTCCCCTAGCAGATGGAGTGCTTAGTTTCACTCACCATCAGATTATTGAACTGGCTCGAGATTGCTTGGATAAATCCCACCAGGGTCTCATCACCTCACGATACTTCCTTGAATTACAGCACAAATTAGATAAATTGCTACAGGAGGTAAGAACCGCACACCATATAAAGTTTCCTGATTTGTTTCACTTTTCCCCCGAAGAAAAGAATTTTTTTTTTAAATCATTTGCTTACAAGTTATAACCATGAAATAGAGTTCACATTCCAGGAAAGTAACGAAAAAGCAAAAACACCTACCTGATTGCTACTTGCTATAAATTGATTCTGGTCATTACTTATAGTAATAGAAAATTAATGTCATAACCTTTACAGGAACCTTGGGACCTGATGGTCTATGACTCTAGGATAAGTGGATTGGGAAGGATTTTGAAGCTGTGATTTTTTTTTTCCTCCCTTAACCATAAAGTTATAAATTGCCCAAGCGTATGTGTGTTATTTGATGATGCTATCTAGTTCTAATGTCTGAAAAAACTAAATGGAAAATTGCTGGCTTCTTCCAGGCTGTGTGTTCTATTAATTAACCTGCATGTGGTGTTGGGTAGTAAATGGCAACATATTTTCGTTAACGTCAGTTCTTCTTCTAACAAAATATCCGATTTCAAAATGACAGATAAACACAGGACCTGTCTGGGCCTAACACTTGCATGCCTAGCTCCAGATAACACCCAGGACAGGAAGGGAGTGCGTATGGGGGAATGAAATGAGTGCCTAATAATGTGCTTCTCACTGAAATTGACCAGCCGCAGCCAACAAGCAAAACCCGTGTAGCCTCTGTATTTGGATATATTGTATTTCTGTATCTCATAGGGCATAACTTGTGCCCATGTAAACATAATCATAGGTGGTTTTCCTAAGCATGAATATATAAATAATTGCATAGAACTAAAGGAAAATACTAGCATCCTAATTTTCAAGAAATCTACCTCTCCTTGTCCCTCCGGAATTTAGTTATAGCAAGATAAGAAGATCCCACTCTGGCCAGCAGCCCCTATTTTCCTTCCTTTTCCCGTCCAAACTTTCTGTTCTCTGTCCCCATTTCTCACATTGCAACCTACTAAAGCAGTGCCTCTCACACTGTCTTTGGGAGTGAACACATTGTTTTAGGGTTTTTTTTTTTTTTATTAATTTCTAATTTGGTATAGACCCGTTCTCTCCCGTAAACTAAAATAACATGAATTTTAGAGGAAAATAATCATTTACTTGGGTGTCCTGGCGATATAAACTTGTTATAAAAGTCACTAAATGCTTACGCTCCATAATTATACTTACCGCATTCTGATATCAAACGGTTTGTGGATCGGCGCTAGTCTGTGGACCACACTCTGAGGAGCACTATCCTTGCATATAAAGTCTCTGTGGACTACGTCTGCTTTGTTCACCTAGGATGGTGTGTGACTCCAATATTTGTTGAATGAGTGGCTTCTGACCCCCCTCATTAAACTCACTGATGTTCTTCTTACTGTCATATCCACTGGGCACTTTATTGGAACATTATTGCACTCCTCCCCCTTTTAATATATTCTCTTATCCTTGGTACCCCTCTGACCATTTCTTGTCTGCCTCTTCCAAGGGTTTCTCCTCCCACTCATGTTTTCTATAAGTTTTCCCACGATCTCATCTTGGATCCACTGCTCCCCCTCTCTCCTGGTGACCTTGTCGGCTGTCTAAAGTCCTACGGACTCTAATGGCTTCCAATCCATATCTCAGGCCAGCAGTCCCCTCTCAGATTTCAGGTTCATGTGCCGCCTGCCTACTAAATATCTTTCCACCTGATGATGGCCTGCCAAAATAGCAGACCCCACCTGTCTAAAACTAGACGTAGCATTTCCTCAACCACATCTGCCTCTCCTGCATTCTTTGCTCCGTCCTTGGCACCACCATCTGTCCGATCACCTGCTAGAACTCTGAGTCATACTAGACTCCTTCCTTCCCTTCAACATGCAACTGCTGCTAGAACTTCACAGTTTACTTCCTCAATATTTCTGCAACTCTTTCCTCCTATTCTATAACCACTACCTAGCTCAGACCCTCATTGTCACCGGTCTGCCTCCCTCCAGTCCTAACTCCTCAAATCCACACTTCCATGTGGCAGCAAGAATATCTAACACTCTTCAGTGGCTCCATTCTGCCTATAGGTAAAAACCATAACGTGGCCTGTGGCTGTGCCCTCCCTCTCAGTGTGTTTAGCCACAAAGCATTGTAATGACCTCTGTGGGTCTCACTTCACCAGCAGACAGTGGGCTCTGGGCAACAGGAGTCATCTCCAGCTCCCTGGTCCCTAGCTCGGTGCCTGGTGTTTGTCGGTTCCTCAGTAACTATGGAAGGGAGGGAGGAAGCCAGAAAACACGTAGGTATGCGTGCCTATGTATTCGATCTATCATGATGTATCATCAAGTAATCTAATTCTGCTGTTGGCTTTTCATCAAATCAGCTTCCAGAAAATGCTGGAAATATTATACATATTACTATTGGCGAGAATACCTTGAAAATTATGCTTCTTAAGTCATGCACCTTTGAACAGAAGAGTTAGACAAGAGAAACTCTGTATTCAGCCTCTGTGAGAGTATCCTTTCTTAATTCTGTAATTCTGCTCCAAGATATTATCATAATTACCAGTTTAGTCCTGTGTTTTTCTTTCTTTTCTTTCTTTTTTTTTTTTAAGACTAGTCAAGTGCAGTGGTGAGGAGGGGGGAAAGTAGTAGAACAAGAAGTTCAATCTGTACCTGACTGTGAACAATCAAGTGAGGTAACTCACTACCTTCGGACCAGCCTAGTCCTGTGTTTTTCATTCCCTCCTAGGCATTCCCTGAAAAGGATAGAATTGATATCCAAAGCTATTTACATTGAAACCCCTCACTTAATTTCACTTCTGTATGAGAGACTTGGCATATTGCTTCACGGCAATTAGAAAATAAACTTAGGGTTTCAAAGGTCATGTGAATGGACTATATAGTAGATGAAAAATTATCGAATTTCAGAGAAATTTCTCTTCTGGCCAGAGAAACACGTATACTTGTGGCATAAACATCATTGTTGGGTATGAATAAGAATGTTTTCTTGTTTATCTTCATACAAAAAGTTTCCTTCAGTCCTTTGTAAAAATTAAAACTACCTTCATTACCACATTTACAGTGTCCTTCCAGAGCTTGGGGCGAATCTGTTACAGGGGAACTTGCCCCTTTTAGGCAGAGCCGAATTGTAGGAACTTGCCTTGGTTTTCCCATCATGCAGTTGGCAGTCCCCAGCTGCGATAGTCTGTGCCGGGCAGGCCTAGCTCCCTGCCGTTTTTCTCATTTTCTGTACTTTGCATAAACCCAGGCAAGGTCCCCAGAAGGTTCGAACAGTTTGATTTAAGTGATGCTTTTGTAAAGTCCTGAGGTCTAGGACAATTACAGATGCATGCTTTTATGTCCACATTCTTTTTTTCACTTAGGTATGTTTAGCCAATGAAAATACATAGGAAGCTCTAACCTACTCTTAAATCTAGGTCTTGGTATTTTTTATTAGTGGCCGACACTTCAGATACAGACACAAGATATCCATTACTCTTCCCCCTTTGGAGCTTGCTGGTAGCAACCAGGAAACAATTTATCTTCTCAGGCTAATTGTATACTTTTATTTGGTGGTGTTCTAACAAAGTTTTCCTCTCCCCTTAATGTTAGTGGATAAAATATTATTTAAGTAACTTGTATGTTTTGGCCTTGGTCGTGTCTGATAATTCTTAGAAGGAATAACTTGGAGTGAACTGATTATTTTTATGATTTTGGAAATAGAATTTAATCTTAACTGAATCTTTAAGTTTTTTAAGATATAAAATTCTCATATCCCTTTGAAGAGACCACCAAAATATGCTCAGAATTTTTAGATTTTCTTTATATTCCTGAATTTATAAAGCAGTAATTATAATAAGAAGAAACTTCAGTTGGTATTCAGCCCAACTTGTCAACTACAAAGTTAGGTGGTTTTTTGCTTCCTCTTTAAGGTTTTCTGTTTAGTTTGATTAAGGATAAACTATAAAGACAAGACATATAACCATGTTTCTTGCCATTCATTGTATCTTCGAAAATTTATTTTTCTTGGAAAGCAAAAAATGGGAAGAAAATTTAAAGGCACTTTCAATATTTGAGATGTGTGTTTATGTATGTATATACATCCTTATATATGACCTAGCATCCTTACTGGTTACTAGGACATATGGTTATAGTTACTAGTTGGTTTTCTTTGAACACATTCTATTCTACAATTATTTGCCAATGGTCATTTTCCCTGTGTGTGTGTGTTTTTTTTAACTGTAAATATTTGATGTTTTGCTTTATCCTGTAAGTGGTTTCTGTTACCTATATTTTGGAAAATGGCCTTTGATTTGATGGCTTAAGTTCAATAGTTTTACTGCTAAGTGCAATCATTTTTTATAAATTTGGTCTGCCAGTTCTTTTCTTGGGGGGAGGAGGCTGGTCCTTGTGATAAAGCACCTTCAAGAATGATTGTAAATGTTTACTATTGTGTCTGTGAAATTATATTGTACCAACATCACCTTGCTATGTTGTTTATTTTTACATCCTTAGAGGACAGTAAATCATAAAAACTAAAAAATTAAGAAAGCCTAAAAGTTAACAGATATATTAATAGAAGTTTACATTAAAACTTCTAAAACTCTTGATTTATGCCTGCTTTGATATAGATTTGCCTGATTGCTTCAAGAAAATGTCATTTAAAGTTTACATGACAATTAACAAACAGCTTTGCTCTCAATACTTATTGTGATTAAGCAATATGTAAAATAAAATTTAAAAAGATTTTAGGTCATTTAAATTTTACTGAGTTGAGTGCATGGGTATCATTTATTCACTGTGTGAAATTGAATTCATATGTGTATATCCAAGTAAGGTTGAGCACCCAAAATTCAAAACGCTCCAAATCTGAAACTTTTTAAGCACTGACACGATGCCACAAGTGGAAAATCCCACATCTGACATCATGTGACAGGTGCACAAAATTATTAAAAATATTGTATAAATATACCTTCAGACTATGTGTATAAGGTGTATATGAAACATAAGTGAATTTCTTGTTTGGACTTGGGTCCCATCCCCAAGATATATCATTATGTGTAT